CTTTTTTTTTTTATGTGTGTGCCTTCAAATTGGATCTGACTGGTACAGGAGGCGATTGTTCCTCCTTCTTCAGCAGAGCATCTGGTGGATTTGAACCGCGCACCTCTGGGATTGCAGTGCAGTTTCCTGCCACTAGGCCACCAGAGCTCGCCAGGCCATAGTTTCTGATTACTAGCTATGCATCCGAGACCTGGACAATGAATAAGAATGACAGAGAAAGAATTGACACCTTTGTGCTCTGGGGTTGGAGAAGAGCACTGAACGGACGGCCAAGAGAATGAACAGATATGTCTTGGGTGCAGCCAGAGTGCTCTTTGGAAGCAAGAATGATGAGGCTTCACCTCACATACTTTAGACATATTATTAGGAGGTGCTATTCCTTGGAGAGGGACATGATGTCGGGAAGAGTGAAGTTGATGAAGGAGAGGAAGACCCTCAGACACGGTGACTGCCGCAGTGGGCTCTTGCGTGTCAGGAAGTGTGAGGATGGTGCAGGACAGACCTGGGTTCAGATCTTTTGTTCACAGGGTCGCTATGAATCGTACTTGACTTGAGGGTACCTAACAACAACAACCAGCAGTGTGTAAGAGTTCCAATCTGTGCACACTCTTGCCGACATTTGTTATATGTTGATTTGTTGAACTTTGCTGCTTTTGTTGGCATGAGACGATATCTCATTGCTATTTTTATTTCCATCTGGCCTAGTGGTAAAAAGCCCTGCTGTAATTCCAAAGGTATGTGGTTTTAATCTACCAGCTCCTCCACAGGAGAAGGATAAGCAGTCTCCTCCTGTGTGATTTACTGTCTCTGAACACCTTCTGGAGGGTCAGCTATGGGTCAGATCCAGCTTGATGGCACACAACAAGGACAGCAGCTAACAGACTTGAACATTTTTTAACATATTTGTTGGCCATCTGAATGTCATCCCAAAGAAATAAGAACTGTGACACTGTTAAATACGCTGCACAGTTTGGATGAATCTAGACAAGATTATACTGTGTGACAAGAGTCAATTACAAAGGAACAATAAAGGTTTAGGAGAACCATTATAAAAAGATAAGGAATTTAATAGTCTCATACAGTATTTGTCCTTATGAGAATGAGTTAGTTCACTTACTATAATGCTCTCCAGTCTTTCACCCTTGAGTATTTCTTACTTTTGAAAAAGAAGCTAAACCCCCCACACACACACACACCACAAGATAAACAACCAAATTAAAAAATGGGCATAGGATATGAACAGACACGTCACCAAAGAAGACATTCAGATGGCAAACAAAAACATGAAGAAATGTTCAAAATCCCTAGTTCTAAGAGAGATGAAAATCAAAACAACTATGAGATATCATCTCACCCCAGTAAGAACAGCAAAATTTAACAGAACAGCAAGCAACAAATGCTGGCAAGGTTGTGGAGAAACTGGGACCCTTATTCACTGTTGGTGGGAGGGTAAAATGATGCAAGCA